GTGCTATAACTTCAATATCTACACCAAACTAGTGAATATATTGTAATCATGAAGAAATAACAACTTTCTAAGGAAACACAAATTTATAGGAACTTATTTTACAGTTTTGTTCCATACATCACGTTGGCGATGTTTGGCCAAGCAATTCAGACACACTTTGTTTCCCATTTTCGTCCCTTCCCATTTTCATTCTTTGTATTGCTTCCTTTACTTCTGCTATGGTTATTGCTTGTTTTTCCTCAATTTTCAGAGGTTCTTGTATTGTATTTCCCCTCTCTGGTCCTATTCTTCCTGCCTTAAATTTATCTTCGTAATACTTGCTCCAGGTATCCGGTATTTTGCTTTCCTCTGACACCATATTTCCGGTCTTTATACATCATGCTGTTTTGCCATATTTTCCTTCTAGATGTTTAACTATCGTCCAAAACTCTTTCTTATTGCTTGTATTGTCTTTAAACTTTCCCTCTATTTTTTTTTTTGCCGAAATCTTCCCATGGTTTATCCTTTGACTTCTCTAAGCTACTTCTTTTGCTTTGTTCCTCCTGTTTATGTAGCTATGTCTTTCTGTTTCATCACCTCACTCCGCCATTTTGTTCTTTTAAGCCTAATTCTCATTTTCCCGCATACCTCTGCAGCTGCTTTTAGTATTGTAGTTTTGAGTTTTATCCATCTTTCTTCCATCGTATTCCTCTGGAATTCCTTTTCTGGTGGTTTTAGTTTTCTTACATAGAATTTTGTATCTGCTATGACTAGTTTGTGCTCAGAACCTATTTCCTCTCCTTATATCTAGTATAGTATATTTGGTTTCTGGTTTTGTTATTTTTATTTATTTTTTTAGATTGCTGATTTAATTTGTTCGGAATTAATCGACTCAATAACAACATACTCAAAAAGTGTATTGGACGTTTATTTCCTTTGGGATGTCAACATCCAAATCAATTTTACCCAAATCTTACAATTATTAACAGGAAATTGTACGATTTTGGGTACAAAATTATTTAATATAGCGAATACGATCCATCAAAATGAAAATCAAATTGAAAAATTAATCTCAAACGAAACTCTCACATTAATCACCGAGTTATTAATTAAATCTCACGATTGTTTCACAGCCGATTGTAATATGGAAGGAATTTCAATGGTTTTAAAACAATCACAACCGCTAATTTCAACATTAATCATCGCGAAAAATTGGAATTTAATCATAAGATTATTAGTCGGCATCAAACGCTATTCCGAAATGAATTACATATTTCCTATTTTAAAAGAAAACGGGCAATTTGAATTATTGTTGCGTAAAGGTAGTCGAAAAGATGTCGGTTTAAAAACAGCTTTATTAGAATATTTAAAACGTTATTGTCCTGAGGATGTTGAACTTTATAAAATCGTTGCGTTACATTTCTTTTTATTTTCCGAAATTGCGGATCTTTGGGAAAATGAAAGTCAAATATTAATTAAACGTTTAATACAAATCGCTAAAATCGATATTATTAATAATAAACCAGATAATACTAACCCAGAAAATCTTATTTACTTTTCTAACTGTGAAGATACAAAAAATATTCTTAAAAAAATCATAAAAAATTATCATCACGCCGCTCAATATCATCTGAACGGTTCGAAAGTGTCTAAATCAATGAAAACGGCACAAAAAGCTAAATTGGCTGCTTTACAACTTTCACTATTTAATAATTTACCACAAAACGAATCCTGTATTTGTTTATTTAAACTAACAAAAACACAAATCAATAAAATTTTATTAGAAAAGTTTAATTTTTACCAAACGCTAATTTTAATTAACGCTTACGATTATAAAATAGATTGGGCTCCGATTTTATTCGAACAATCTGTCGTAAAATCTTCCCCAGATTATTTAAACCAATATTTATCTACTTTTGAACTTTCCAAAACTTTATTACACGAAATTTCTCGTAAATTTTTATCGTACTCAAACCCCAGCGATAAAATGATTGTTAATATGAAAAATATTTTAAACAAATTCAGTTCCGTTCATACAAAATATAGAATCGCCAGCGAATTAGGTTTTAGCGATATCGTTGAAAGGTTACTCGAAAGCAATCAATTGTGTTATTTAAAAGATACTGTGTGGAAATCTGGATATAGAAATACCGAAAGTTAACATTTTAACATTTATTATTAGTTAAAAATAAGAGATATTTGTGATAATATAAGTAAACATTCTGTGATTGTTATTTTACGGGCTTCTGCTAATCATTTTTATTATGAGTTTGTGTAAATGTAGCTATTAAATCATATTTTCAACTCACCTTGTTTAATTTTTTATAAGTAAAATCATTTTCCTTTCATAAATTATTTTAATTTAAATTGGTTTTGATCACTGAGTAACTTGTGAGACTGCCAGTATATCTGTAGAAACAAATTGAAGTTATATCTTTCTCTTTGTCTAATTTGTGCGAAATTCTTATGTAGTAACAGCAGGTGGCGTTAACATTCGCTGCTTAATTAATCGACAAAATCAATTATAAACAAACATTTAAAATTCATTGTTGTAATATTTGGAATTAGATGAAGGCGCTAAAAGGAATTGTGTTTAACAAATTCTACATATGAGACTTATATTTAAAGATGCGTAGAAAATCCGTCTTGCGGTGAGGATTCTTATGCCTCTATAAATCTGCAAGCCAAACGAGATTAAACTAATTACGAAATACTGGTTACAATACCGCTCTTAAAATTGTGTGGGATCTAGGTATTAGGGATCTCGGAATATCGATACTCAGGACTTTTAGTATCGCCACGACATAGGGACAAATTTCGGTGTGAAAAAATCCTATTCCAGGTCCAACAAGATCACGTCTCATCATGCCATGTTAAAAGGGTTACAACATCCACAACTTTACAGTATTAGGTTTAAATGCTGGGCATCCACCACGGAAAACAAACAGTCTGTCTGTAACTCCATCTGTACCTTTATTGCAATACTACACTACCCTTATAAGGTTACTACAAAAAATTCATTCGTTTTTAAAACGCATGAATGAAACATCAAAATAACAGGAAACTTTCCAAGTTTTNTTACATTTCTTTTTATTTTCCGAAATTGCGGATCTTTGGGAAAATGAAAGTCAAATATTAATTAAACGTTTAATACAAATCGCTAAAATCGATATTATTAATAATAAACCAGATAATACTAACCCAGAAAATCTTATTTACTTTTCTAACTGTGAAGATACAAAAAATATTCTTAAAAAAATCATAAAAAATTATCATCACGCCGCTCAATATCATCTGAACGGTTCGAAAGTGTCTAAATCAATGAAAACGGCACAAAAAGCTAAATTGGCTGCTTTACAACTTTCACTATTTAATAATTTACCACAAAACGAATCCTGTATATGTTTATTTAAACTAACAAAAACACAAATCAATAAAATTTTATTAGAAAAGTTTAATTTTTACCAAACGCTAATTTTAATTAACGCTTACGATTATAAAATAGATTGGGCTCCGATTTTATTCGAACAATCTGTCGTAAAATCTTCCCCAGATTATTTAAACCAATATTTATCTACTTTTGAACTCTCCAAAACTTTATTACACGAAATTTCTCGTAAATTTTTATCGTACTCAAACCCCAGCGATAAAATGATTGTTAATATGAAAAATATTTTAAACAAATTTAGTTCCGTTCATACAAAATATAGAATCGCCAGCGAATTAGGTTTTAGCGATATCGTTGAAAGGTTACTCGAAAGCAATCAATTGTGTTATTTAAAAGATACTGTGTGGAAATCTGGATATAGAAATACCGAAAGTTAACATTTTAACATTTATTATTAGTTAAAAAATAAGAGATATTTGTGATAATATAAGTAAACATTCTGTGATTGTTATTTTACGGGCTTCTGCTAATCATTTTTATTATGAGTTTGTGTAAATGTAACTATTAAATCATATTTTCAACTCACCTTGTTTAATTTATTGTAAGTAAAATCATTTTCCTTTCATAAATTATTTTAATTTAAATTGGTTTTGACCACTGAGTAACTTGTGAGACTGCCAGTATATCAGATCTGTAGAAACAAATTGAAGTTATATCTTTCTCTTTGTCTAATTTGTGCGAAATTCTTATGTAGTAACAGCAGGTGGCGTTAACATTCGCTGCTTAATTAATCGACAAAATCAATTATAAACAAACATTTAAAATTCATTGTTGTAATATTTGGAATTAGATGAAGGCGCTAAAAGGAATTGTGTTTAACAAATTCTACATATGAGACTTATATTTAAAGATGCGTATGCCTCTATAAATCTGCAAGCCAAACGAGATTAAAGTAATTACGAAATACTGGTTACAATATCGCTCTTAAAATCGTGTGGGATCTAGGTATTAGGGATCTCGGAATATCGATACTCAGAACTTTTAGTATCGCCAGGATATAGGGACAAATTTCGGTGTGAAAAAATCCTATTCCAGGTCCAACAAGATCACGTCTCATCATGCCATGTTAAAAGGGTTACAACATCCACAACTTTACAGTATTAGGTTTAAATGCTGGGCATCCACCACGGAAAACAAACAGTCTGTCTGTAACTCCATCTGTACCTTTATTGCAATACTACACTACCCTTATAAGGTTACTACAAAAAATTCATTCGTTTTTAAAACGCATGAATGAAACATCAAAATAACAGGAAACTTTCCAAGTTTTTTTTTACGCACTCACCATTGGTCTATGTGGGCCCCTTAGGTCACAGGACATATATCTAGCCAATGATACAATTCGTTTCGCACATTTTGTAGCTTTCCCTGAGTTTTTTTAATGCGTATAACATACAAAAGTATGAATTTCTAAAAATAATACAGTTTTTTACAGAAAAACGCAATAATATTTTTTATAACAACAAAAATGGCAAGTGTTATACCATTTTGAAAACTTGACTAAACAGGCCATCTTTTAAAATTACTTGCCAAGGGTGTTGTACGACTCCTTTTTTTAGAAATTGTGTGTCAAATTTGATAGACATAAATTGTTTCAACCTGAACTCAATCAAATTAATATGTTTTTTTGATTTGTGACTTCTACCGTAGCATGGTTCACAAGGAATACATTATTAAAAAAATCACTATTAAATTGCAGTGTACGGGACCGATTTTTAACATTTTCAAAAGTATGTCTATTACCACTTAACTAAGAGACATGGATTTTTTTTCTCATTTTTACCAGAACAGGTATGAGTTGACCTCTCAACCAGCGCCCGCTTGATGTTGAGTTTCGGGACAACCTGTACAGTGTTTTACAAATTAATCTTTTGTAGTAACCTGTATAACCCAGCATAATTTGTTCTTAATTATAACTAGCATTTTTTGTTTCTTACAGGCAAGGTAGAAATCTCCTTTTAAGAAAACATTAGAAGTGGCATTAGCCAAAACATTAGGATTCGCAACAGAGTTGGAACATTGGAATCAGTTCTTGAATTCCTTCATGGCACTTAGGCTGCAGTGGGTTCTTTGTACATTCCCACAATTTACAGTTCATTCAGGGA